TCAGGCAGTTGGATGAAGTGATGGGAAGTAGTCAGAGAAAAGATGGTGCGATTAGAAAAGCCTTTGAACTGCTGTGTTGCGGTGATGCACAGATTATTTTAGAGGGAAATCAAGACTACATTTTTTTTTTTTTGAAGAAGTGACCAAAGCCACATTTCTTTCAGGTGTCCTAATTACACACAACTATGATCAGGATCAGCTAAGCTGGTTTTCAGAGTTAAACTTGTTCACTACTTGTAAAGTAGTATATCCTGCTGGCATCGCTATTTAATTGAGTGGGAAGAGAGGATCAACGCAGCATAGTATCAAAATATCTTGACCTGGCCATATTGTATTCAATGAACAAAAAAGAAACAAGACAAAACACAACATATAAACCTCAATAAAAAATGTTAAATATTTGTAAAAATATAAAACCATAATATACATAAAATACAAAATTACTTAGAAGAAATCAATGAATACACAAACACTTCAGCCAATGCTTCCTCAGACTGGATGAGTAACGGGAACACTCACTGTCGGATCAGTGAGTACTTTCTTAAAAGTGCTTTAAAAGTTTAAACACCCACAGCTACAAACATCTGACTGGGCATAGATATCCTATGAAGGATTCTCATTGCATCATTATATGCAACATGCAGCTTCTGCGTGCTACATTATTTGTAAGATGACCACAAGGGTGCAGTATATAGCACTGTGCCATACACTTTAAATAAAGCCACTGTAACTGGAAGTGAACAAAAGCTGAATTTTCATGCAATAGTATTTGCCTGCACATAGAGCTTACATCGTTATCTGTATATGTCATCATCATCGTTCATTTGCTCAGTAATAACGTGCCTGAGGTATTTCACCTTTTTATGAACGTCAAGAGTATTTTGGGACAGTTTAAACAAAGTTTAAAATTTAGCTGTTCATCCTGCTTCATTCTACATATCAAGATTGCGCTTTTAACAGCATTGTACAGGGTGGGCCATTTATATGGATACACCGTAATAACATG